TGGACTATATCAAGATTAATTTTAATTTGCTCTGGTTTTATACTTTCCTTTTTAAGTGCAGATGTACTGAAATATGTATATTCAAAAAAATCTCAGAAATATATATTTTACGGTGAAAAATGACACAAGCGATATTTTTCAAAATGGCAAGCATGGCTCACGTTCGCGAGCTTTAAATAGTTTGCAGAGAGGAAAATAGCGGAGCATGTTAAAACCACCGTGTGTTTCGAGGATAAACGGCTCTGTATTGGGAAGGGTTAGCATCGTCTAGGGTTAAATTGTTCGTAACAGGCGCACCGCTGATAAGCACCGTGACACATACATATTCGCGGGGAGCATATTCGCCGGCTGCGAATTTACGATATCCGCTTACGGTACGCCGTCGCGCATCGGGGCCACTCTGATAAAAGTAGACGCGAGTTCCTCCCAACCTCCCTCTCCCGCGAATTATCGCCGGCGAATTTACGGCGTTATCCCGTTATCTCGATTGACGCTATCCGAAAACGTGTGTGCGTGTACGTGTGTGTACGTCAAAACGAGGGGGGGGGGGAAGGAAGGGGAAGGGAGGTCCGGAAATGGCTACGGATGAACGCCAACAGCCAACGAGGGTTCAGCTCTTCCGCGCGACGGTAACGAGTTCGGGACGAGACGTTATTCCGGAGTGAAAGAGGGAGGTTTATGGCATCTGGACCCGGGGAACACGAAAGTCGATTCTCGTTCATTCTGTCAGAAACGACAGACGGTTTTATGATTTATCTGTGTACTAGAAGAGAACTATACACACACACACACACGCGCGCGCGCGCGGGAGCGGATCGTTCTCATAGACGAAGAACTATAGCCGATCGAATTACGATGAAATAACGAACGGCGCGATCGAACGTTACAAGAGTTTGAAGGAGGGATAACGAAAAACGCTGAGCGAAATGAGTTTCGAGGGCGAAACGAACGAGGGAAAGGAGATACAATGATATTTTATGGTAATTTTGAAAACAAACGACGCTGGAAATTGCGCGACTGAATTTAGAAAAGAAAAAAAAGAGCGATGTTGGAGACGTAGTGTGTATTCTTATATCTCTGCCTTACAAAAATAAATTCAAGAGATAATTTTATTTATAGATTTTTTTATTCTAATTCAATTGCTATCTTAATTATATCACTAATTTTATTATCTACCGTCATGGTATCTAATTTATAATAATTATATCCTAAATTAATTAATTTTACTTGTCCTAAATTTTTACTTAAAATTTATTTCAACTTTCATCATTTAAGGAAACTGAATTAATCTCTCTTTTATGACACACAGATCGGAGCAAGATTTGTGCATTTCCGCCTGGTAAAAATCAGAATTTACGGGGGACGGTATTGGGCGAAGGGACGACACTCGGGTCCCTTCAGTATATATATGTAGGAAGATCACGGTATGAACTTTCTTGCGGCGGAGTTTTTACGGTTTTTCCGTTTCGCGCGCGGCGCCGTATGGTGGAGCTTTGACGCCGGCGGTAAATGCGAGAGATCTACTCTCTCCCCGCGAATAGCTATATAATAAAAGGACTAAGATCCGCTGCCGAGACGAATCCTATTCCCTTTGCTCCGCGTCGTCCTTTTTCGCGACTTTCCGTTCCCGCAAAGTTTCTTACCACCTTTCCGAACTTGTGCGCGGCGTCTATTACCGCGGTGCAGTTAGCGTTTCCGGCCTTCTCGCGGAAAAATATTTTGACAATCGTTTTCGTCGAAATGCATTGGCTGCCATTTTGTTATTCGCAATAACGAATTACAACTCGCCGCTGAGTGTCTGCTTTTGTTAGCGTATTATTGAACGTTATACGCGGTTCCTGTCTGTTCCTGAAGTATCGCCCGTTCGTTTAATAAATATTTTATATAAATAAGAAGAAAATGTACATTTTCTAATAATTTTCGTCAAATCTTTAAGTTTCTTTTTTATTATTAATATCAGAATTAATTATTACAATTGCTTTTCGCGTTAATTAATTATATAAATAAAATGCAAATTTTATTGTGTCTAAAAAACAGTTAGTAACAAAATGTAACATATTGTTAGTTAGAAAGATATCTCTTTACTTAATAATTTAATGACTATTTTTACAAGAGCTGTTTTTCCACTTTGTAAGTTTTTGGCCATCTCTAAAACCATCGAAATATCATTTGTATTTAAAGTTATTTATTTCCGAATTTGAGCAAAATTTTTAGAGATAGCCACTCTGCAGAGAAGAAAGACAGAATCTCAATACCTTGTTTATTCTTCGATGTTCGATCGAAGGAAACCTTCGGCCCGAGGCGCCACATTGATCTTGCCTTTTACTTTGGTCAGCCCACCCTCGTCTCCCACATGCAACACCTTTGACCCCTCTCCGTCGAATCGCCACCGGCTGCCCACTTTTATTTTGCCGCAACACTTCCACTGTTACACCGGAAAGCCTATTTATTTCCTGCAGCCTTCGGTCCGGGCTCGCATGTAGTTTCGCATTCGTCTGTTTCCGCGAGAACGATCGGGAAAAACAGCGCAATGGAAATGGGCGATTTGGAGCGGCCGGCAGAGAAAAGTCAACGTTGATTAAAACCGCTTCTGTTTCTCTCCGTTTCCATTTTATTTGCGCGCGGGTTTTGGCAATATTTTTGAGAGAGACGCCAATCATATCTGTCTCCTTTGAGCATCCCCGCAAGATGACATTTGTGACCCTGAAAATAATACGGAAGTTATATGATTTTGCAATACCTTCGCTTTGCGAGCGAAGAAAAAACGGAATAATTTGAAAAAGAATTTATTCTACATGATTTTTTTACTTTATATACTATATATAGATAAATATAATTTAGATATTTATACTATGTATGGATAAATATAACATATACTTTAATTGTAGAATAGAAAACTTGAGAGGATTAATTGAAGCAATCACCGGTTTTCTGCTTTAATAAAAAATTAATCTTAATATAAAGCCAAATATGCGCGATTTATAAAAGTTCTGGCTGCTTAATAAAGTTTTACAGTTTTTACTGAATTTCTGAAAAAATTCGGACAATTAATAACAGTCAAAGCGATAAAAGCAAATCCATTAATACTAGACGTATCTTATTGAGCAAATTCAGCAAAGCGAGAAGTAACAATTAATATGCAGAATGCAGCTCGAGTCGCATATTTTAATAAAGGCCATTTTTGATAAAGAATAATAAGGATTAGAGATGTACGAATAGTTCGAATTCGAATCGAATCACAGTGGATTGACAGGAAATATATCGAGAATTCAGTGGTGTGATCCCATTGATTCAATTTTAGAGAGTTCTTAATTTATCAATACGCATAATTAATTTCTCTAGTCAAGGATTATATACTAAAACAATAATAAAGTAAAAAATTGTATCACCAAAGAAAGAAAATAATTTTATGTTAATCGCGTTTTAATCAAAATTATCGAGATTATTTCTCGATCACAAATAATATATCTAAATTTGAATAATATAAGAAAAAACGAAAATTTCTTTTTAATAAATGGAATGAATCAGTGGTGGGTGATACCACAGGTTTAATTTTAGAGAAATCACAATTAAGTTTTTATTTTATTAATTAATTATTCTGTTAATGCTGAAGTCTGAACGTGGTCGTTTTTATTTATTTTCTGATAAGACCCCTTGCGGGGTCGCGTTTCAGGATGGCCGAGCGAGATCACCAACGACGAACAGTTGTTCGACGTTCGTACTCTCTCGTATATCTCTTCAAAGATACGATCACCTGCTCCGAAACCAAAAGCGGACTGAGTGCAAGTATATTTATAGTAGGCCGCATAAAATTCTTCTTACGGAAAAGTCTATAGTCGCGTGTCCCTCTCGCGGCGATGGCGCCGTACTACCTCATATTCTCGCGCCCCGACCGCCCCGCGGCACTTCATGCGCGTCACTTTTCACGCGTCGCTGCACACGGAAAGAGCGACTCCAGGGATGAATAATGTCTCGATTCGATCAAATCGGTAATCAGAATTTATATTAATTTTGTATTTACAACTAATTGCAATATTCAACTGTCGCGTAAATTCGACACACTCACGCTAATTATCAAGTCGAACGCGCGTGTATTTCGTAAGAAATCTGTCGGTTGAAAATGTATCGCGCGAATATAATCGACAATTATATTTTCGAATCTGTATCTATAATATCATCTTGCCCATTTAACTTGCATTGCAATGCGAAGTAACACCGCGAGCATATATTTCGAAACACGCGAAATGTGACGCACTTAATGTGACGCCAAGAGACGTACGCCGCATAGCGTCGCTTTTGGTGCGCGGAAAGCGACGCCGCTATATATTAATTGCACTTACGTTTCGTTTATCAGAAATGCGGTAGAAACAGAAACAGAAAGGTCTCCAAACGAGAGCGTCGTAATTCCTTCAATTGGCAAATGCACATTTAATTGTATTAATTTTGCAATCTAATTCTTACATACCTAATATATATAGATTCGGCACTCGCATGCTTCTGATTCGGTCGAACGCGACGACGGGCGGCAGCGACGGCTACACATCTTGCTTTTCGAGCGAGTATTTCGCGATCTCTGCTTTTCGTTCGAAAAGCAAGATGTGTATAGCGTCACTGCGTCACTGCGCCGTCGCTGTCGCCGCCGCCCGCCGCCGCGTCGCCGCGGCGCTCGTTTCGTTTTGACCGCGCGAGAGAGAAGCGCGTCGCTTTGCCAATTAATTGGTAAGTCGATACTTGCATTAAATCTTGCATCTAACTCTTGCATAATATAGATTCGGCACTTACACGCTTATATGATTCGGTCAAACGCGTATTTCGCGATATTCGTTCGAAAAGCAAGATGTATAGCGTCACTGCGCCGTCGCTGTCGCTGTCGCCGCCGCCGCCGCCGCCGCGACGTCGCGGCGCTCGTTTCGCTTGTAGTTGGCCGTGCGCGAGACGAAGCGCGCCGCTTCGCCATCTTAATTACGTTAATGTTTCAATTGCAGGACGCGGCGGACGTGGAGCAGACCGTCTCCGGAACGAGGGATTCCTTCAATCGGTAAGAGACATTTGTATCGATCTAATTCGCGTAATAGATTCGGGCACTTCCACGATGATTCGGTCGACTATTTCGCAATACGCTTTCGTTCGGCTAAAAATCGAGACATGTAGCGTCGACGCGACGCGGACGCCGCTGCGCCGCCGCCGTGCATTGTCGCGTCGGCGTCGCCGCGGCGCTCATTTCGTAGTAAAGTTAATCGCACGCGGGACGAAGTGTTCGTCTCATTTTAATCGCACTCACACGTTTTATTTGCAGGACACGGAGTGGATCGGCTACGGAATTAACGAGTGCAGGCGTCGCGACTCATTTAATTGGTAATAGCGAAACTTCTATTAATTTTACATATGTTGATTTCTTATAATATTTAACGCCATCGCATAATATATACTCACTCGAGAATAAACAAGACTATTGGCTATTTACTTTATTGACTATTTTTTTTTGCAAGTGAGTATATATGGATTTAGCACTCGCACGCTGATAATTTGATCGAACGAGTATTTCGTAATACTCGTTCACTGAAAATCAAGATACATGTTTAGCGTCGCCGCATCGTCATTTGTTTCGCGTAAAGTTAACTGCGTAGAAGGCGAAACTGTTTCGCCATTTTAATTGCATTAATTTTATTTGCAGAACGCGACGGATACAGAAAGGAGCGACTCTAGAATCAGTCGTGATTTATTCCGTGAGAACTTCGAGGGAATCATTTTAATTGCATGATAATTTGAACAGTTTGAGAGGAGGATCAATCTTTTGCAGTAAATATTTCTTACTTTTTTAAAATTAATCATTTCTTTCCATTTATTTTAATCGTTTTATTTTGTAGATTTAAAAGTAAGAGAAAAAGAATTAATTTAAAATTTTATATATTTTTATTTTTGTGGAATTCATTTCCAAAGAAGTATAATTATTAAAAAAATATTTAATAAAGAGATAAATAAAAAGTTCGATGTACATATAAATTACCTTTTGAAACTAATTATTTGGAATATTTTGTTTTAATTTGAATCAGAAGGCCTGACAACTCAAACATTTTAAGAGGACGAAGAGACGTGATATAGATGTTCTGAGAGAAAAAAGAAGAGGAGCCTAGGAGATGGCCTAGGAGAGGCATCGGGCACTAGCGGAGCAACTTTGGGGTGAATATAATTTTTTACCTCTATAAAATTAATTATAGTTCTTTCCCATTTATTTTATTTATTTCGTTATTATAAATTTCGTTTTTTATCTAAATAAATTAATAATTAGAGAAAGAAAATTACACTTAAAATTTTATAAAAGGTTATTCTTGTATAAATTTTTTGGAAATTAAGTAATTATATTATATAGAGATAAATATCTCTAATTAAAAGCTGAATAAAAAATTTAATGCGCGTAAGAATTATCTTTTGAATAGTTGATTATTTTAAGCGCTGTTTTAATTTGAATGTTATGCTTGTGTGTTACAGTATCATCGTAGCTTCGTGGCAGATCCTCCGCTCATTGCTTCGGGTTGGTGAGTGACAAATTTTTTTATAAAAGGAGTAACAAATCTGTGAAACGTGTATTAGATGTATATTTATATATTATATCCATATAATAGAACTATAGATGAATGGAACTTTTCACAGATCTGTTACTTTAAAATTAGACCAAATCAAATTGATAGACTAGATCAAATTAGGGCGAATAATTAATCCTGGAACACTATCAAATATTGATTTATTATGTTTACGAGATCATTCCCTCTTTACAATGAAACTCATTATGTCGACGCATTATTGATGCGTCTAATGTTCATTGCATCGCAGAACATTAACCGCGAAATAAACTAGTCGCTTGAAATTGAACTTCTATGAACCTAGCACTCCTACCATTAAAAAAAGTTCGATATGTCTATATGCCCATTAATTAAGTGTTAATTTATTGCTTCTACTCATTTGTAGAAAATTAACATTAAAAGTGGATGCTGATTTCACGTTACACTAACACTCCCGAAAGACACATGCATGTGTGTATGTAAAAAAGTAAATGGATAGGAAATATTAAAAGAAAATTACTGAAATAATTCTGAGTAAGAAGAATTTTTTATAATAATTAAACTTATTTTGCAAATTTCTCTCTCTCTCTCTTTTTCTCTTTCTCCGTATCTTCTCCTGTCTACCTTATTTTAATATTCCTCCAGGATTAAATATCACGTGAATTATGTGGCGCAAAATAGCAAATAGTAATACATATAAATAAATTCAGTATGTATCACGAATTAATGAAAAAGATTGCAGATTAAAAATGTAATAAATTACACTATTATTGTTAATTATATATATTTTGATTGCATATTTTTAACGCGCCAATTTTATCCTAATTTTTTCTAGTCTATCTATCTGGCATCTTCTTTTATAATCTGTATTAATATAAAAAACAGAACAATATTAGAGTAAGATCCAGTGAATAATTTATTCACTGGACAGAATTTTTTATGTAAAATTATTTTTAATTTAATAATTTTTATATCAACTATATTGAATTGCATAATGTACAATTTTAAATAATAATGTATTCTTGATATATTAATTTTGATAACATTTTGCATTACAATAACGAGATAATTATCTAAATATATATAAAATACTTATAAATATATATGACAAATTAATCAATTTATTAAAGACAAATGTTTTCTATTGTTTCATGTTTTTACATTATGCTATTCAAATTGATATATCGATAATTGATATATAATCGCAATAATGGCGACAAATTTGATTAAAACGCGATTAATGTAATTCTTTTCAATCTCGATTATCAATTTTGAGGATTCTTTTTTACTTTCTATTGTTTTGGTCGAATTATAATTCTCGTTTGAAGAAGCTAATACGCATATCGTTTAGAAATATAATGCAAAATTAAGTTAAATTTAATTAATATATTTTACTAATGAATATGGTACGTTGTTTAATTTTTTCCTGTACGATTAATGTGCTCTTAATTATCGTAACATAATAACTGCTATGAATCAACTAGCAAAGGAGTTTATCTCCTCATTCTCTGACATTTAGAAGGATTTGGCCAAAAACAACATAATAGATAGGTCGAATCTGGTCAGAAGGAACTACGAAAATTACAAAAATACCACATGTTATAAGGTCTATTGATCAAAATGAATGTAGACCTTTTCCTGTGGTATATGGTGTACTACAGAAATTATATGTTACAATATTATGATTGGGAGGTTACTAATAATCGGGAGGGTAAACTTGCTCGCAAATTATATAAATTGCGAGTTCTTATGTTTTTCAAATTATTGTATATTTTTTATATTTTTCTTAATCGCGGTTAGGCTATCCCATTGGATTTAATCAACAGGATATATATGTATTAGGTACTCACGTATCAGAATCCGCGGTTTTGCTCCACATTTGTGTAATACGGTAAAAATACGGGTAGGTAGGAATATGCAAATAGGTAGGTAAATAAATAAAAATACGGGTAGATAGGATAATAGATAAGAAATACGGATATACGATAGATAAGAAAATCGGGAATAATTAACTAACGATAATTAAATGTTTTAAAACTAAAAATGCTACACGTTAAATGATATTCATCGCCGCAATATTACTTTTTTTTTAAAGTTGAATACTACTTTTAAACTGAACATAGTACCTAAACTATACATGTATAATATGTAAAATATGTGGAAATATATATAGACATGTATCAATTTCATATTTGATGATTAGAAAAAAAGGTTTAAAATTAATTTCAAATTTTATTCAATTTTTAGCCCCTAAGAAATTAATTCTTTTGCGTAAAATTATATACTGTTATAAATGATGTTGATTGATATTGATGATGTTTAATTGTGTTGTAAACAAAATTATATGTAATATTAAATATCATATAAAATTCATATAATACTATATCCAGATAAATGTCGTCATCACTTTTATATGATGATTACCAATAAATTATCTATATTTTAAACTATTTATATACATATACATATTAAATATCTATTTGATGCTAATGGCATTTATTTGATCTTAGTAAGCCAAATAAAGTAAATTATGTAAATTACGCAAAATTGATACAAACGCGTATGATAACAAGAAGTTTATTAAATTAATATTTTTGTTGAATGTTTAATTTTTAAATTCTTTGTTTTTAGATTTTATTTTGAATATTAAAAAGTCATTAATAGTTTTAGATTATTTTAAAGTTAAAATTTGGTGTTTAAAATTATTTTCAATTTTTTATAGCAGTTTATTACAAATTTATTAAATAAGATAGTGAAGATTCTAATTTTAACTGATCCAATGATCAAATATTAATTTCTTGTTCGCGAAATATCTCAGCGATGAAATCTCATTCCTCGCGTCAGGTGGATATTAGCAAATGCATGTTTGTGGTACCGATTTATGGAACTTGTGGTACCGATGGAATGTCGAAATAATCTCCATCGTGGAGAGTTAATTCTCGTTGATTTCCACGAGATCCATCCATGAGGTTCGTTGTCTCGTTGAAAGTTATGGAGTTTGTTACAGGGTTGAAATTAATCCGCAGTTTTCTCAAAAATCTTGATTTTGGTAATGAATCAGTTACGAACTATATATGTTTTAAAATCGAATCGTGAAATTAAATTAATAATATATTTTGAGAGAAAATGTTTTTTCCTTTTTTGCTAAATGTTCTCCCATTAGTAACAATATTAATATCAAAATTGTCTTAATAATAATAAGACATAGAATAAATGAATATAATGATTATTTGTATACATTTAATTATTAAGTAAACAAACTCAAACACTTTTTTATCATTAATTTGCATATTTTTTAGTGATTATTTTAACAAAAACATGGTTACGGACGTATACATTTAATCCTCTTAATCAACAAATTTTTTTTAGGTATTGGACATCCCACCATTCTTCAGAATATTATAATAATTTAGATATAGCAATTTATACTGTTTTATAATAAAATACATGCATATATATATAATTGTTTTACAAATTTTAATTTTTTTGTTGACTTAGACTACAATTAGATCATTTTGCAAACAAGATTTGTACTTTTTTATTTTAAGAATTTTATCTTAAATACATGAATGTAATTAGAAATGTGCGGTTACAATAAATTCGAGATAAGTTAAATAAGTACCCTCATATTAGTGAGATATCAACAATTAAAATGTTTTAAATGTTCTAAAAAAAAGGGAATAGTTAAGATTTATATTGCTAAAGTTTTTACAGTATACAATTTTTTAAAATTCCACTATTATCGGGTCCGATTTATCTCGAACAGTTGGTACCCGAGAACATTTGTACCCGCATATATATATAATAAGCTATAACGCATGTATTTTATTATTATTAAATATATTCTTTCGTAACCATATATTATTCTATAAGAATCATTCTATCCATGCATTTCTCAATAAAAAGACTAATTTTTAATAATGGAAGAACATATTTTTTGTATGCAAATGTGCGTATTTTTAAAATTACGTATTAAAAGTAAAAATAGTATCTGTCATTGATACGCTGCAAAAATTATTACTATCGCAATCTGGAAGATTCGAAATTCGTTTTATCCTGATCGCTGTTGTTCAACGGATAGCTTAACTTTTTTTTTTGCAAATCTTGTGGAATTCAATGTAGAATTAGAACACGTTTTTGCTTTCCACTGTGAAGATTATTCTTCTTTGTATCGGTTATTCAAAGGAAAGATTT